TGAATGTTGCATTTTGTTTGGATCTGATGTGAAAGTCACAAAAATAAAATTTGATGTGGACTTGGTTTATTTATTCATTTTTTTCCTGAGTATAATACCGTGTAACAACAGGCAGTGTTGATAGGAAACTACACTATTGCTAACATTTTATCGATTTCAAAGACCTCATTATTCAGTAATAGATAGTCATTTCGTTTGAAAAGTTCTGTTAAGGGCTTGATTTTTTTTCTATCTCTAGTTTCAGGAGAATAAAAAGAGTAGTTAACTCCTTTTCTCGTAATTTGTATTTGTCCTTTTGTGTCTTCCCTCCTCTTCAGCAACTGAAAAAAAAAAACAGTTTCTGTTTTACTTTTAAACATTCATTACACTGTTTCTGTTTTTTTTGTTTTGGTTTTTTTTTTTTTGTTTCGATAAATTTTATTGTAGATCTTCGCGATTACTTTTTTTTATCTGTAGTATGTTCACATTTTTGCTGGGATTTATTTTTTTTAACAATGATCAAATTGTTGAACATACAAGAAAAAATGATCAAGTAGTCGCAATTTTTCCAGATTTGTTTCCCTCGTTAGGTTGGGGAGCTTTAAATTCTAGTATTTTGAAAAAAAAAATTTTTTAATCATCTAATTAACAGTTAATTATATGATTATTACGAACATGATATATCGATTCAAAAGATGCATTTCTGTAGAATCGGTATATCATGTTCGTAATTTGCATTTTTAATCGATGATCAAGGGAAACAACCGTTTCCAATTTGGAACATCAAACGAAATGTGAAATAAAAATCTTTTATTTTTGTCATGAGAAATAGTTATTTAATAATTAATTCTATCTGTATGTGCCCCTGTTGAGAGTATTTGTGAAATACGAACTTTATAATTTAGATATCCAATAATAATAGTAAATTAAGGCAACGGAGACGTTTTTTTATGTTGTCTGGCTAAGGAAAAATATTTAGTCATTACTTATTATTCCTAATTGTAACTTAAAAAGTTTACTTTTTTATGCATTTAGAAATCTTTTGTTACAAAAATTTATTTCTCAATGCATCCACAAGAAAAGTTTTGTGGATTTTTTAAAACTTTTTATGTATCCCCGCCCTCAAAGTATCGATGAATAAGTAATAATGGTGATGTGGTATACCATTTGTTACTTGTATGTACATTACAACTATTACTAAGTAATTTTTTTATGTCGCATTTGATTATTATTATTAATTGAGATTATATTAGCGGTAAAAACGCTTTGTGTGGTTCTGCTGATCAGGAAAAAAAAATACATTTTCGACATTTGGTTGCTCTCTTTGTATAATACCACGTAGAGTTGTACTTCGCCAGATTAAAAAAAAGGAGTGGAGGAATATGTATATAGCAGCTACCCAAACTGCATGATAGTAACGCGTGTATTGAAGCTTCAAGAATGTTGAGGTGATGGGGTGTGTTTGGCAAATAAATGAACAAACGAGACATGTTGACACACGCGCCAATCTCCGTCTGCACGTGTTAGTGAGAAATGCCGATCATTGAAGAATGAAGGGAAATCTAATCGGGCCGAAAAAAAAAACAAGTAGATTCAAGTTAAGAAGACTAATTTCTATTATTCGTTTTTGTTATTGATTATTGTTTCAGTTGTGAAAGAAAAATCGTGCTTTGTCCTACTTCATAAATGTGCCCACCGGTTTCCCAAAATGACCTCGTTTGGTAAAAGAGAAGGACGAATGGAATTCCTTGTTGCCGACCACGTGACCACGACATTGCAGCAGCAGCAATTATGGACCTCGTGTTTTCACTTTCATACACGCACACACATTAATGCATGCACGCACCATATCTACTCTCTCCTAAGCACGGCATTATTAGCTATTTCATCTGATTAAAGTCTATAGAAAAATTGGACACCATAAATACTGATGTATATACGTACATATGCATATATAGGTCTAGCTAGATAAAAAGAGATAGACTGAAGACGCATACACGCATACAGAAGCGCGCATCTGTAGACACACTCTACCGTATTTTTAAGGGGAAAGCAATAATGGCTGAGAATAATTCTCGGCTGAGTCGTGATAGTACGATGCAAGTGACCGCTAAGGTAGGTGTGGTTTTAGTTAAGAATACCCGTACTATATTTCCTTCCACTGGATATAACAGCAACAAAAATAATAATAATACCTACGTGGTGAAATATGAAGATTTGTAATTGTCGGCTGGTTTGGCTTGATAGGGAAAAAAATGTGTTTATGTTCGTTTGTGCCTGTGTGTGTGCGTGTGGAAGCGCATCTTGGCAATGGACGACTATTATTCGCTTATGTTTTCGCGTGTTCTTTTTCATCGATTGGATCACAAGTCGAGATGTTTTTTTATTTTCTTCACACCTATCCTGGCAATTTCAAAATTAGGTTCACTGAACGTTACTGTCACAGTTACTGTTATGGGTAATCAAAACAGTCTTTGTCACTAAACGATCCCTCATATAATGACCACTTGTACTCTTAGTCTCTTTCTCAACGCGCATGCGATGACCGTCCTCAGGTCTTCATCCGATTTTAATATTCATTAGTTTCCTAAACAACACAAAGCAGTCAGTTGATATATTTTTCCTTTAAAATAATAAATACGAATTTGATTCCAAATAATAACGGAAGCAATCGGGTAAACGGGCAATTTCACTCTGATGAGGTGGGGGTGGGTTTCCTTTTGGCTTTTCCTCCTCCCACACTGTCTGTAGTAAACGTAGTAGCAGCAGATTGAGATAAAAATACAAGGACGGCTTTGCCTTTGAATATTCGGAGAAAAGCCATGCAAAGTGGAAAGAAAGAAAGAAAGAAAGAAAGGACATCCTATGACCTATATTAATATTTTTCAAATGTATTTTTTTTTTTTTTTTACATTAGATTATTTCGAAATGCATATCGATTGAGTCATAGAGATCATTAGTTGTTTATAGGACATCGTTATTTTTATCCAAATTGTGTATAAATAATTGTTTTGTATGGAAATATCCATGGACGAGATTACAATAGTACACAATATGGCGACTGATAACTAACTTTGCCCAAATATGAAGAAGATAATGATTGTAGAGATTGACTACATTCTCTTTTAAATGTGTTAGCGTTTTCTCGGATCTTAAATGCATCTTGTAACTTGTTTATTGTCTTTATTTTTTATGATGTATTTCATTTAGGAATATTTCTAAAAAAAAATAATTTAACTTTTTCAAATTTTGGCATTCTTTTACCTACTACAAAATTAACATTACTTGAAATTCGTATGAACCGATTCTTTACATACGCCTTCAAAATTATTTCTTCCAGATTAATTTTCAGAAAATCTGGTTATGTTCAAAAAAAAAAATATAATCTAACTTTGTTACTTGGACGTTTATAGGTTTCTTCTGTTTTTTTTTGTTTTAATGTTTTAACAATAGCATTAAATACTTTAGAAAGGTAGAGAACCCCTTATATTTTTTTCATCAGTAATATTGGTTTGACATGAAAACTATCCAACAATATTGCACTGTCATCATTCATGAGGTTTTCTGATTATTAAAGCTTCAAATTAGAAGGTGATGAGAGACAATTCTTACAAGTTTCAAATATTGCTATAAAACGTGTCCATTTAAATTTTAAAAGTTTACTTTCACTAAAAAGACAAATTTGTCATTGTTCTCAATGGACATCCAACGTCTTTAAAGATTTTTTTATTCTTAACTTCGAGATTTATTGGTCTAATTTTCAATTCTGATAATTACCATTATTCTAGAAAATATTCTTAAAACTGCTTTTTAGAAGCGATAAAATGTAATAATTGTGTTTTACTTGTACATCAACATTTCTTTTACTGCATTTTTTTCACTGTTAGTCATAAAGCAATTTTACCATTTATAATGGAACAGTTCTATAAAGTCATTAATTTTTGTTTTGTGTTAACTTTGAAACCACTAAAATTTGTTTTAGTGATACGATGACATCTAATAAAATCTTTGTCACTCATTGTATACTTTTGAAGTTGCACAAGAAATATATTTCAAGGCGAAAACTGTACAATAAAATTATTTAGCTTTGATTTTCTTTAATTATGTAGACATGAAAGAAAAGTTTATTTGATTATGATAAAAACTAAAATGTTTAGGCAGACATCTGAATTGGTTAACTTGTTTAACCACGACACGTGTCACCATATCTTTTAAGAGCTGGCATACAAAAAAAAGATATAGAAATTAATAAAACTTTAAGTTTTATTTCCACGTCAAAACAAAATATTCGTCAAATATTTTTAAAACGTTTAATCAAAATCAACGTAATAAATAGACATAACTGAAAATTTAAAAAAAAAATTGAAATAAACATGTAAGCATCAGGTATAAATCAACTGACTAAAAATTTGTTTGACTATTTTGAAGGCGTTTAAAAAAAACTATTCAGAAGAAAAAAAAAATTGAAGTCGAAAATTCATTTTTCACGGTAATCTCCCCTGAATGCTTGATAAATTTGTGCTTTGGCATTGAAGGCGTGGCTAAATTGCCCTTAACCCTGCCTTTTTAGAGGCTTGTTTTCAGTGGCCAATAAGAAAGAATATAATAATGAGGAGGAGATAATCAAACCAAAACAAATGGCCTTTCGTGGTGACCGTAAATTATAGGTCAAGTTCAATTATAAATCATCGATGATAAATAACCAGAAATACCAAGTAGCCTTTCTAATGTAATTTTACATGCGGTCATTTCATTTTTGAGTATTTACATATGCTTCTACTTGTTTTCAATTTGTGTATGAAATAAATTTATTGTATTTTTTTTTTGCCCCATATTTGATTTAATTATGGAATAAAATAAAAAAATAGGTTAAATTTAACAAGAAAAGCTAATTGGATTTGTATTCTGAGATTTCAGTTTGAAAATTATCCATATTGTAAAAAACGTATTTTCTTTATTTGCACAATGCCGAATAGAATTTTCCAGTTGAAAAAATGCATTATTTGATGACTTATTTTCAGGAGGAAAAAGCCGACTCAATGGGTGCTAAAATCGAAGATGATACACAAGCTAAAAAGGAGGAAATTGAGACTGAACCTCCAGAGAAAAAAGTAAAAGTTTCAAACTCTCAGGTAATGAGATGGTTAAAATATTTTCATTTTGGTTGTCCTAATTTTCTTCTTAGTTTGCTCAAATAACAATCTTAACCGTTGACCCTAAACTGAACATTTACTAATCCAGCTTTTATTAACATTATCCTAAATGGAACCAAAATATAAAAAAATAGGTTTTAAAATAACTTTTTATATACATTTATTTTCATTTTTGCACTGAAAATAATGACCTCTGTGAAACCTTAATGTAAACTTGCTTATGGAGCAAGCAGTATTACATCTGCTTGCGAGATGTGTTAGAAAAGGATGAAAGAAACATTCTTCAATTGTGTTTTTGTACTTTCAGGATGAAGCTGGAGATGCAAAAGAACTAAAACAGAGACGATCAAGTTTCAAGCGTCTCGGAATTAGTGAAGATGATGGTAAATCTTTCTCTAAGTGCCTTTAAAACAATTATAAACTATTTGTATTCACTTTTTCACTTTTGTCTTCCATTAACTTTGCTCTCATAAGTATGATCAAGGCTTTAAAAAAAATTATCATATAATTAATAAAAAGCAGTAACTGGATGTTAGATAATAGTGGCATTGTTATGATATGAGTAATTATTAAATTGTCTCTTTGTTTTAAATTACTTGAATTCTAAATGAAATATTTCATGTACTTTTTTTTACAGCTGAAAAGCTCTTAAAATCTGAGGATGCTAATGAGGGTCGACGAACTCGTTCAAGATCACGTGGTGGAACCACAGAAAGCCCTCGGGCTGCAAAGAAAAATACACCAGCAAAAGTAAGTAAATTTGATAAAAAAAATAATAAAAAAAACGTTTGTCTTATAAGTCCTTATTTTCAGTGAATTTTATCAGCTTTAAATATTTTATGCGAAGTTTAAATATTTTTGTTAAAAATTCCGTGTTTTTGATTTTTCATCTTGTATGTATTTAGCCATGCCAATGACTCTCATAAAATCTAAATTACTTGAATTTTGACATCCTGTGAACAAAGTAATTATGAAATGTTTGTTTATTTTTTATTTTTCATAAACTAAGAACTATTGATTGGTAGAAATCTAACGAGTTAGCAGTTTAATGTTGGATGATTTTTAAAGTTAACTGATTTCATGATTTCATATTTAGAATAGATTGAAGGTGGGAATATTAAGTTGCCAAATATTATTTCAAGATTTAAAAAAAATGCTTCTTGCATTGTAAGTCTAAAACTTTTAGGCTTTATCAAAATATATTTATACTATAATTATTTTACTGAATTGTCATAATTTTAAGATTAGGTGCTATTATTATTATTTTAATCATGTGAATTTTGCTAACTAACCTTTGATTTCATAAGTTACTGAATTTTCAGTTATTTTCTTTCTCTTTGTGTCTTTATTGTTACCCACCCTTTCCTCTCTTACCCTTGTTGAAGGAGACTTCAAGCAAAAGAGGCCGAAAAGCTAAGAAAGCTACTGCTGCTCCTGCTGCAACAGCTGCTGAAGAAGAGGAAGAAGCAACAGGTGAAGAATCTGCTGAAAAGGCTGAGGAAGCAAAAGAGGCCAAGGAAGAAGCTGCTGAAGATGGAGAAGAGGCTGCGGCAAAAGAGGAGGAGGAGGAAGAGGAAGAAGAGGCTCCTGCAGCTGAAGATGGGGAGCAAGACACTGCTGCTGAGCCTGAGAAAGAAAAAGAGAGTGAAGGAAAAACCACTGATGATGGCGAAGCCAAGACGGAGTGAAGATTCTTGTCTCTTGGCTAATCATTCATCCCTGCCCTGGGCCTTGAGAACTTCTCTCATGGATTTCCTCCTTACACCCACATCATTCATAACTACATATGATTTGTACTGTTCTTCATCTTGCAGCACCAAAACAGCAACTGCTGCAGTTCGTTCGTCATCAGAAACAAAAAAAAAAAAAAAATCTTGTACTTTGTCCACTTTTTTTGCTGCCTCATTTCATTCTTTCTTTTCTTACCCCTTCCCCACTTTTCCATATAATATCAGTAATATTGCATCTATCATCCTTGTCAGTATCACTGAAAAGAAAAAATACAGGGCGCCTCCTAAGACTGCAACATTTTTGTGTTTATCATTACAGAACTTGAAAAGTTGAAATAGATGCAAACTTAACAGAAAGGAAGAAAAAAAAACAAAAAAAAAAACAAACACCAACCAACCCATCACAATAGCATTTACCATTTTCTCTCCTGCTTTAGATACAAAATAGAAAAAAAATTTTTAATGATATATATTAAACAAAAATCTCACATGACTTGCATTTCTCATTATTAACTCCTTGTCCTTATTGGAAAAATCTTTTGTCAATGGAAACATGACTGTTTCTGATGCCTTTTTTTGTTTCTTTTTTTTTTTTTTTTTCTCCTTTTTTCTTATTTTGTTTTTTGGGAGGAAAACTATTTAAAACCGTCCTTTTATTTTTTTATTTTTTCCTGGAAATACCTATTTTGAATTATTTTTGAAAATATTTTTAGTAATTTCTAATTTAAAAAAAAAAGTTTTTTTTCCACCCACTCCCCTTTCTTTAGGATCTGGAGCTGGCCCTCTTCCTCAATGACTGGCACCTGTGGCTAAGGTGGGGAGAACTATTGTTAAACTTTGAAGAAAAACAAAACAACAACAAACAAAAAACTAAACCACTTTCATTTAATTTGGTTTCCTGCTTTATTATTACTATTATCATCATCATCATCATTATTATATTCCTAGCTACTAAAATAGTCATTGCAAATTGTTGAGTTTCTTTTATCACCCAGACTGGATACAGTTTCTGTGTGGGATTTTGTAGCAGTGTATAATGTTGATCAAGAAGGCAGGAAAATGAGTTTTGTTTTATCTCTCTCTCTCTTTCTCTACTGGACCAATCTCATTCTTTTTTTTTCTTTTTTTTTTTTTTTATATATAAATCTGTTATCATGACAGCACAGATACATCTTTCATCATAGTTGTTTTAATTTTATTTTATTTATTTTTTATTTTACCAAAAAGCATTTTAATGCCCTAAAAAGGGAGGGATGTCTAGATTCTTTTAACCTCATTGACTGCACACTGCCTTTTCATAATAGACTTATTCTGCAACTCTGCCTTGAAAGTATGGCACATATGCCTTGGCTATTTCACCTTGCCCCCTGATTTTGGTTTTAGGACCCGTCCAGTCCAATCAAGCTGTTGTTGGAGTTGCTCATAATCATTCCATTTTCTCCTGCTGTCACTACCACCACCATCTCTTCTTCCTCCCTTTCAGAAAATAATTACATTCTACTTGGTTTCTTAGAACCAGCAGTAGCTTCTTCGCATGATACTTACCTTTTCTTTTGCTGCTTAGGACTGACAACATTGAACACAAATTGCTCACAACTAATGATCCAAGTATGAACCTTCTAAGAGGAACCAATGTGCTGTCTGTGCTTTTAGGGTTGTTAACAACATACTTGTGTGTGTGTGTGTACATGAATGTTAGTACAAGTATGCTATCAAATCAACTATGCAGATAAAGAACAGATTTTGATATGGAACAAATAGAAGTGGTTACACCTTTTAGCACAGGTTGCATTTCTTAATACCATTCATACAGAGCTTTCTTAGTATCTATCATACAAAAATTGAAAAAAAAATTAATCTCTAAAAAGAAAAATTCCTATGCTATGTAAATCAACATTCATCATATATACGTGTGTACTGCATGGTGCAATATTGATAAAATGACTGTCATGCATTTTATTTTCTCATAGATAATGGTGATTTATTATCCATAGATGTCCACAGGTGTAGCTGTCTTTGGACCCATATGTGTCCTGCGTACATGCATGCATCCCACAAGTGGCTAGTGTGTTCAATGTTTGATCCTAAGGGGAATGCTTCTGTCTGATGCCATCCAAAATTTTGATCAGGTTTATGGAAAAAATATCTAAAATTATTATCATTTTCTTCTAGATTGAAAAATTTCAAAGATAACTGTTTTAATTTTGTATCAAGGATGTGTATGTTTTGTGACTGAGAATTCAAGTTAATAAACTGTTTTTTTTTTTTTTTTTTGAAATGTTTTTTTCCTTTGGTATTTTTCTTTAGGTCATTCACATGATAACACCAGACAACCTGTCTTATTTCACACTGTGTTGTTAGCAGACTAAACTTCCTTCAAGCTCATCCTTGTTACTAATTTATAAAATTTAATAAAACTTTGTTTAGACAACTCATTGCTCTCTCACTCTCTCACTCTCTCTCTCTCTTTTTAATTTGGATTCCTGTTAGTGTGTAGCTAATTTCTTTCCATATTCTTAAGATCCACACAAAGCTACTTCTCTTATTTTTTATTCTCACAAAAGATGTCAGTTTTCATCTAATTCACTTGTTTGATTCACTCAATTAGTTCTTTCCATTTTTCCCCATTTAAATAAATACAAATACTGAACTTTATCTTTGGAAAACAATTTTAACATTCAAAATATTTAAAATGTTTTATGTTTATTAGAATAAAAAATGACTATTTTGTTTTTCACCTAAAAATGTTGAGAATAAAAGATAAGGATGTAGATTTCAATCAAATCTTTTCCTTTTGTTAATAAAACTTTATTGACTTTATAGTTTTTTTTTTTTTTTTGTGTGTGTGTGTGGGGGGGGGTAGAGTTGGCCAATGGTACTGGCTAGGGTTTCTAAAATTTTATTTTTGCAAAACTAAAGCTGTTTTATTTTTGAATGTTTGATGTTTTTGTATGTGCTGATGATTTTAGGTTAACTGAGGAGGAGTGGCCATTCCAGCAATATAGGATTCTGGGAAGGAAAAAGGATTTATATGTTTCTTCCTTCTTTTTTTCTTTTCTTTTTCTTTTTTTTTTTTTTTTATCTAGCTCACATGGAACTGCTATAAAAACATGATCTCGTTCTGTAAATAATGACAGGTAAGGTTTATTGCCATCAAGTTGACAGAAGAAAGAATCAATTTGTATGGAGAGAAGTAATTTCAGCTTTTATTCATTGCTCCATTTAATTTATGGTGCTCTCAGCTATTTGAAAAACTTTTGCACTTAAGGATTTTGTGTTGGTCACTGGAGGACATTTATTTTTGTGGATCACAAATTTGATTTTGAAAACTATTTTATGGCAGCAATTCAGAAGTAAAACTTAAATGTCACGGACATAATTCTTGAATTTCAGATGAGTGCATCAGCAGATCATGATTTCTCTCAACTGATTTAATTTATGTAAAAAAAAAAATACAAAAAATACAAAAAAAAACAATGGAAAATTTGATATTTTTACTGTCTTTAATTAAAATGAAAAATTGTTCAGTTCATGATTGACAGAAATATAAGTCGAATTCTTTATTGAAAAGCCTTCAAATCTCATCAAACTAGGGCTTGGTTATGAAATAAAAAAAATTTGGGAAAATATTTGAAGGTCAAGGTAAAAACTTAATTGTCTTTAAAGAAACTTGCCTTCTAATTTAAAATGGTATTAAATTGTTTTTTTTAAGTATCAGCATGTAAATATTTTTAAAAAACTGTCATAAAATAGTTATTTTTCATACCAAATTTTACTTTGAATTATTAAATGGGCACAAAAAGAAATTGGACCAGTTTTTGATTTTAAGAACATTGTTTGACATTAAAGATAAAGTACCAATTTTGATAATCTTGAAAGTCGAGATTTTTATTTTCAACTACTTTTGACTTTTTCAAGATAAAAAAAAATGTCAGCTGTTAGAAGTGAGAAATATTTTTTGACTGACCACAAAAAGCGTAGACAAGCAAAAAAAAAAAAAAAAAAAAAGGGGTAAGTATTGCAGAAATTGAAACAATTCCCCCTTCTTTTCTGTTTTTAATGTTATTTCGAGCAAAAGATAAACAAAATCATTCATTGCTATTATATATTATTGGTTTTCTTTTTATAAAAATGATTTTGAAAGTTGGGCTAGGCTAGTATAGAGATTTTTTTTTTTTTTTTTTTTTAAATCCAAGGTGTGTCTAAAAATACCCTTTTCTCTTAAAATAGGGAAAAAATACTTTTGATTTGGAGCTGGTATTTATGGCATTAACCCTTTGGCATTCACATTACATACACACACACATGTGTATGTATGTATGTAATGAAACCTGTTAAAGATATGCTGTGTGTGTAATATATACACACACACACACACACACACAGCATATCTTTGTTCAAACAAGTTTCATTGAATAATATATATTATGCCTCTTTATAATTCTTTCCAGTTCTCTAATCAATTTCTTGATATTAAGATGAAATTCATGAAGGAAGGTGCTACAGTTTTTTCTTGCCCAAATCACCATCATAATCATAGTTACAAATTTATCTTTGTAATTCACCCCTGATCTTGGAGATAAAAATACTTTGGTAAGAAAATAACTATGGCACCTTCCTTGATGAATTTCATCTTAACATCAAGAAACTGATTAGAGAACTGGAAAGGATCATAAAAATAAATAGACATAATGTCTCCATTATTCAATGGAACATGTTTGGTTGAAGTCAGCATCCACAGGTGACAGTCTGTTTCATGCTAAACACAATTGTCAGGCCTGATGATTGCATTTAACATCAATCTCTTGGCTCTGTGTTGGCTTCATTGTCCATTTTAATATTACATACGTTCCATCCCTGATATTGAGCACTTTAACCCATAAATATAGCATACCTTAAAACTAAAGTCCAGCGTACGCATAAAATGAGTGAATTACAAGAAAGGAAAAATAATTGAC